GCGCCCTGCCTGGCCAAGGTCACCGGGGGAGATGGGAGGGCTGCCGCGGGCTCTGCCTCTCTCCCTCTTCCATCCTCCCGCTCTCCGTCTTCCTGCCCTTGACTTCTTCCTCTCAGCGTCATCTCACACTCCTCCTCCTCCATCTCCTTTCCCTCGCCACCTCTCCCTGCATTCTCCTCCCGCCCCAAGCCCTTCAGCCCTGAGCCTTGTTTTCACACTTGCCTTCAGCTCCCACACCCCGTTCAGAGCAGCTTTCCCAAAGGGAAGGGCTAAGGCTCTCAGGGCAGCCTCTGGGAGACACCCTCATGGGGCAGCTGCCAGGGAAGGGAAACAAAATCAGCCCCAGTGTCTCATTTGGGTGGGGGCAGTTTTAAGGGGGAGCAAAGGGGTGACTGGGCCCCTGAGGAACCTGGCCAAGAAGGACTGGGCTCAGAACAGAGGAGTGACCCCAGCTCTCTCTCTTTCTTCCCAGTCACTGCCCTCCCTGTGAACAGCCCGATGAATAAAAGGGACACCGAGGTAAGAGGGGGTGTGGGGACGCCCCAGGAGGGGGTAGGAGGCTCCAGGGGACACCTCACAGTCAGTTCTTGGGCAGCTGCAGAAGTGAGTTGGCAGAAAGCCAAGAGCCAGCACTGCGGCTGCTGAGCCTGGGGACAGCCTGCAAAAGAAGAGATCAAAGACTGCCCCATGGCCCTGCCGCCCCAGCTTCCTCGGAGCTGAGTCCGCAGCCCAATGGGGCCCGCCGTGTCCTGTCTGCTGGGCTGGGGTGCCAGACCCACCGTCGAGCATCCCGAATCTGGCAGACCCACCGAGGGCTGTGGGGGGTGGCTTCTCTGTTCTGTGGTTGTGGTTGTCTACAGACATGGGGGAGCCAGGTCTTCACCTCCCCCTCTCTTTTCCCCTCCCCCCAGGGCTCTGCCAGCAACACACCCCACCCCACAGGCACTCAAGCCATGGCTCTCCCAAAGGGCCACAATGAAAACATTCTTGGTTATGGCTTCTGCACCCCGGGTCCCAGCCAGTTAGGGCTGATGATGGATGTCACTCAGGAAAGAGACTTAGGAGACGCTGATGGAGGCTCTGTAGCCAGCAAGAGACACTTGGTGTTGGGTGTACACTTGGAATTCATTCCTGTCTGAGCTGGGGCTGTTGTCCAGGCTCTGGTGCTCGCGGATACCTCCACCTGAGAGTCGGTACATGTCTGCTTCCCACCTTTCCAGGAGCTGTTGTCTTCCATTCCAGGGAGGCGATGGTTAGAACACAAAGCATCCATTTGCTCAATCGTGTTTCCTATTCTTCAGTGGCAGACGGGCCTGTAGTAAACCTCTACCACTCATTGTAGCTGTGAGGTTTTGGGGAAATCCCTTAACGTCCTTTCCCATCTGTAATAATATTTCCCTTGTGGGGAGTTGTGAGGAGTAGGAATCAGAGGTGAGGTACCTGGCACACAGTAGGTCCTCAGTAGATGGGCGCTGTTATTTCTAGAGCTCCCCTTCTTAATCTCCCCATGGTTCCTGGGATCCAGACCCAGTCTCTCTCTCTCAGAGTCTGTTCTCACGATCTCTTGGTTATCTGCTATTCCCAGTGCAAGGTCTGGGGTTGCAGGGACATGCAAGGCACAGGCTGAAGGGCCCTCCTTGCCAGGTCCCTCCTGGGAGACATTCAGGTCACTGTATTGTACTCAGGAGCCTGGGGTCAGGGGCACCAGAACAGCTGGTAAAGACCTGAGTGTTCCATCCCCAGGATGCTGACAGCTGTACAGCCTGTTTGCCAGTTTGCCGCCCTGGATCCTTGGACAGGTTGCCTTGGTATCCCGTAGACACAGCCTTCCACTCCCTCTCTCCCGACCAGCATTGCCTGACTGACACCTCCTGGCACCCCCCCCCCCACTCTAGCCAGCTGAAGCAGGTTGGGAGTTGTGTATCTCTCCCTGGGTGTGTGTGTGGCACTTCACGCTTTTTAAAAAATAATTATATTTTATTGATTCTTCACAGAGAGGAAGAGAGAGGGATAGAGAGTTAGAAACATCGATGAGAGAGAAACATCGATCAGCTGCCTCCTGCACACCTCCTACTGGGGATGTGCCCGCAACTAGCCAGCTGAAGCAGGTTGGGAGTTGTGTATCTCTCCCTGGGTGTGTGTGTGGCACTTCACGCTTTTTAAAAAATATATATATTTTATTGATTCTTCACAGAGAGGAAGAGAGAGGGATAGAGAGTTAGAAACATCGATGAGAGAGAAACATCGATCAGCTGCCTCCTGCACACCTCCTACTGGGGATGTGCCCGCAACCAAGGTACATGCCCTTGACCGAAATCGAACCTGGGACCCTTGAGTCCGCAGGCCGACGCTCTATCCACTGAGCCAAACCGGTTAGGGTGGCACTTCACGCTTTATAGAGTGTTTTCCCGTCGGTGCCTTGTCACCCTGGGAGGCGAGTTGGGAGGTTCTTCTCTCTCCCACTTCACAAGTGAGGAAACTGAGGCTCAGAGAGGTCGTTCCCAAGGTAACAGTGAGGATACCACATTAGAGTTGGTACCATCCTCCAATATGCATTTATCAGGTGCCCAGTTATCCACAGCACCTTTCAGAGAGAGAGGGCTGCTGTTGGCCTGGGATGGGCACCAGAGACAGCCAATGTGTGCCCACCTCCAGCCAGCAGACTCGTCCCTGGGTGAATGTGGAGCCAGACGATGAGGCTGTCACTCCCTGCGTGTGACAACACTGTGGATGTTGGGGGACAGTCGTCCAAGTCCTGTTTCCAGCCAGGGTAGAGCCAGGGAAGGTCTCTGTTCTCCTCTGGGTGGTCCAGAAAGGCTCCCTGGACATAGCTGGTTGTTTGGGCATCTGCAAGACTGAGATGCTTTTGCAGAACAGATGTCTGATGCCCGGGAGCAGCTTCCCCATCATTAGAGAAACCCCTGGAGATGAGAAGGCCCCAGGTACCCACCCCCCTTAGAGGGGCACCTGCTGGCCCGGGGATTGGAGTGCCTGGCGCCCTAGTACCATATAAGGGTTTTCTCTTATCATGACTATTGTTGTCTGAGAAGGCAGAGCTGTGCCCCTGAGCCAGGCCGCCATGGACTCTCGAAGACAAGAGCAAATGCCCTTATGTCCTCATTAGAAATCTGCCCTGGAGCCTTAGGGGCTGAGTCCCATGCCCCAACCCACCCCAGCCGCCCCACTCTCTTTCCAGGTGATGAAGTGCATCGTGGAGGTCATCTCTGACACGCTCTCCAAGCCCAGCCCCATGCCTGTGAGCCAGGAGTGCTTTGAGACACTCCGAGGAGGTATGGGCCAGGCTCGGGGGAGGGGCTGCTGCCTGCTGGGCTGAAAGGCTAGGACAGGGGTGTGTGGCTCTTGATGGAATTCAGTGATTTAACTCAACTGTCCCTGACAGTGCCAGCCTCGCCCAGGCCTGTGCTGCAGCCTGAGTGGTACAGGGAGATGAAGGAGGTCTGGGCCCTGTACTCCTGGAGCGTACAGACGGGCAGAGGGACAAATAGGAACACAGTTAGGACTCTGCGCAGAATGAAACCAGGGCTGGAACAGCAACCACCAGAACGCGAGCTCCCTGCGGACAAGGATTTTGTGTGCTGTATCTCCCGTGCCAAGAACAGCTGCTGGCACCTGGCAGACACCTTGTAGATATGTGATGAAAAAAGGAGCATTGCGGGTGGGCATGAGGGGAAAGCTTTGCTAAGCAGGCAGTTAAGCAGCTGTTGGATGGAGCCAACATTAGCATTGGGGTTGGCAGTTCAGAGAAAAGTTGGAAACCAATAGGTAGAAAAATGAAGAAAGGGCACTCGGGGGGATCGGCCAGCGCGAGCCCAGGCATGGAGGCGGGTACCCCCCTTGGCGCTGCCCTCCCCCGGCCAGGGTCTGGGTGCCGGGACAGTGGCTGACCTTTCTGCTGGTAGAAGACTGATCGGCACCTGGGAGAGGGGGTCATTTCAAAAGTGTTATCGCAAGGCCCAGTCTTTCCGCTGCCACCCAGGCGTTGAGTTTCCAGAGTGAAGTCCCTGTGCTCAGCTGAAACTGTCGATGGCAATCTCTCCCTCGGCTGTCCTCTGGCCGCGGCCCATAACACCCTCCTTCCTTGCAGATGAGCGGATCCTCTCAATCCTGCGACACCAGAACTTGCTGAAAGAGCTCCAAGACCTTGCTCTCCAAGGTACGTCCAGCCACCGCGCATGCATCTGGGTCAGTTCCAGCGACTGGGAGTCAGGAAGTCAGGGCGGAAGGCCCTGTTTCTCTCTGGTCCGCAGCTGTTTCTGATTGGAATGGTGGGGTTCTCCATGCCACCTGGTCAAGTCGGCCGCGATATAGTGGTCCTGGTTCTCTCTGGTCCGCAGCTGTTTCTGTTCAACCAGAGAGTGGAACGGTGGGGTCCTCCATGCCACCTGGTCAAGTCGGCCGCGATATAGTGGAGAGATCAAGGCCCAGAGAGGTTGAGAGTCTTGCCCACGGTCACACAGTGAGATAGGGACATGCCAAGATCAGAGACCGCTCTCCTAATACCGCCCAGTCTCTGCAGTTCAGCCGTACTTTCGAGATTGGGTGGCAAAGAGGATCTCTTTCCTCTGGGCACACTTCCTTGCCCACAACCACTGGGCCAGGCTCCTATGGCCATTCCAGAAGCTCCCATCCTGGGGGAAAAATCAGTGCCAGCTGCAGAGTTGGTCTGGGCAAGGGGCCACGGTCAGGAACCGGGCACAGGAGGGGACAGTCCCAGGCCGTGGCTGCAGCCTCAGGCTGATGCAGGGAGCGGGGGTCTGTGGCTCATGGCAGCAGCTGCCAGCCCTGGGCTTGGCCTTGGCATGTGCTTGGCTTTCTCCCAAGTGTCTGGACTTAGGGGTCCAGGGTGAGCAGGGTTTGCCTGAACCAAGAGCCCCCATGAGGGTAACCGTCACCATTGCCACCTGCTGCAGGGTTTCCCTAGCTCCCAGCCAGGTCCTGAGGGGCCCACTCTTTGCCTCTGCCCCTGGGACCCTCTGCTCCATCTGAGTCTTGGCTGCTCTGTGAGGCAGCAGGCAGGCTTGATCTCATTTTCTGGGTGAGAAACTGAGTCTGGAGGTGGTATGGCCACCAGCTGGGCCCCAGCTGGGAGGGGACAGGGGCAGCCAATACTCTCCGCCTCTCGCTGGGCCGGCCTGGAACGTGCTGTGCCCAGTGCACAGATGACCAAATGGAGGCCTTCCCTTTCACAGACAGATGTGCCCGCTCAGACCAAATGGGAATTTTTTCTCCCACTAGGTGCCAAGGAGAGGGCACGTCAGCAGAAGAAACACGGCAGTTTTGAGGATGAACTCTCAGAAGTTCTTGGGCAGCAGAACGACCAGGCTGCGCTGAAGGGTCAGTGCTGGCCAGCCTGGCCAGAGAGCGGGGGAGGGAGGGAGGGGATAGTGACAGCAGCCATGGTAGATGGAGGGTCCCGGAGGCAGGAGCCCTCCTTGAGGCACTGGACGGTGGCTGCTATTTCCTTCCATTTACAAATGAGGCCCAGAGAGGTTCAGCCCCTCGTCCGAGGCATCACTGCACCTGTGAGTCTGCGTCTGCCTCACTCCGAAGCCCTCCGTCGGTCCCATCTGCCCACCAGAGGCCGACACTCAGAGCAGGAAGTGTCCGGCCGGCAGGTGGGCCACTTTGACTGGCTTTCCCGCGGCCACTGCAGCAGGGCGCCTGTCCCGAGCACACGGCTTCCCGGGAGTTGGTGCCTTAGCGTCACCAAGTGCAGGAGGATCCCAGAGGAGTAGGTTCGAAACACTGAATGAACCTGGATCTGCTCTCTCTTTACTCCTCACTTGAGGATATGTAAATCATTGATTTATTTTTTTTTTTTAGAAAAGGAAGGGAGAGAGAGACCAGGAATCGAACCCCGAAACCTGGGAATATGCTCTGACCGAGAAGCAAGCCCACCACCTTTCAGTGTATGGGACAACGGTCCAACCAAATGAATCATCTTTCTTGAAACCAGAGAGCTTTTAGGGGTCAGAGAGATCCCAGTGTAGGTCAAGGGGATTCTCTGACTCATCCTCCTACCTGCAAACACCCACACACTGCCCCACCAGGCCCTGCCCTTTGCATGCGGAAGGCGGTGAATAAGGCCCATTTCCAGGAGCCGGGTTCTCAGGGGCCTCCCCTCGGAAAGCCTGCTGGTGGGGCCAGGCGCCCTCTCATGGCCAGGGCCATCTCCCCAGCGGCCGCTGGCTTGGAGCATGGCATGGACTCCCACATGCGGGCTCCATGGGAATGAGTGTTTGGATGGCTATGGATGCCAGCCATGGGCTGTGGGAGGAGCAATAGTGTAGTGTGCGTGTGTGCGTGTGTGTGTGTATGTGTGTGTGTGTGTGTGTGTGTGTGTCTGGAAGCTTCAATAAGGGAAGCAGCTCCGTGTCAGCGCAAAGAGCAACCTGTACTGTACTCGGCCCCGGGAGGCTGGGACTGACTCGGGGCTCAGCTCTGCCGCCCATGGACCTCAGGAGCACGGCCAGGCCTCCTCACCTCCCTGAGGATCAGTGTGAGTTTCTGCAAGCAGCATGGGAGCACTTTCGCCAGGAGTCCTGGCGCCAGATGGTGGGATGGACGAGGTCGTGCTTGTGCAACGGTAGCCATTCTAGTGATGGGCGGGGCTTCTGCTAGTGAAAGGCTGTCTTCAGAGCAACCACAAGAAAACCCCTCCTGATGAAAACGACAGCTATTGGAGAATGAGCACTTTCACAGGATGCTCAACACAGTCCCCGCGTGGAGGGGACAATGCAGTCACAGTAATGGTGCCTCTTACACAGACAGGTTAAGGGCCTTGCCCACGATCACACAGCAGTTCAGCTGATGTCCGAATTTTCCATTCAGGCTCTACCTTCTGGGGTCATTCCCGAGGTCTTTATTTTTTTTAAATCACCTCCTTCTTTAAGAGGTAGAATTACAAAGAAACAATTCATTTGTGCTCAGGTGAAAGCCAGACGCGGAGAGGGTAACCCTGATTCTGTCATGGGTGTCTCGGGCTGGACTCGTTGGAATTGAAGGGATACAATGACTAAGATCTGAAACTGGGCTCTGGGGAGACCCTGGGAGCAGCCTGGTCCTTGGGGCCCGACTTTGCTCTATTCTTTTTGCAGAAGGGACAGAGGAGACGTCCTCCAAGGATGCAGAGAAAAGGGGGCATTCTAATGAGGTGGAGGAGGATGGCGAAGACACGGACAGACCCGGGCCCCAGGCCTCCACGGAACTTGGGCAGGGGTCCAAGGACGAGGAGGACAACCAGGCCCCCGGGGAGGAGGAGGTCGCCAACACCCACCCCCCAGCCAGCCTCCCCAGCCAGCAACACCCAGATCCCCAGGCTGAGGGGGCCAGCGAGGGCCCCTCCCAGGATCTGGTGGACAGAGAGAAGGGCCAGGGTGCGGAGCCAGGGCAGCAGGCACGGAGAGAAGAGGAGGATGATGATGATGAGGAGGAGGAGGCCGGAGAGAAGGTTATCTCTGAAGAGGAAGGCCCCACCGAAGCATTTGACCCCCACCCAAGCCTTGGCTACAAGGAGGTCCGGAGGGCCGAGAGTACGTATGATGTCTGAGGCCTCGACAAATGTGTAGGAGAGGGGGACAGGGGTGTGTGTATGTGGGGGAAACCTCATCCATAATCTCATTCCACCTCATTATGTCCACTTTCCAGTTGGGAAACTAAGGCTCAGAGAGGGTTAGTCATTTGCCCAAGGTCACACAGCGAATTTGTAGTAAAATCTGAAATTCCAACCCAGGTTTGTCCGACTCCAAACCATGCATCTCCACTATTCCACACAGATCCCTCCCCAACCCAGGAGGCTGGAGGGGCTTTGCAGGGGGGTGGGTAAGCTTT